GACATAAGAGATTTTTTTAAAATCACAGGAATTTTTCTAAAAATCTTGAGGAAATGAAATGACAGAATACTTGCCTAACACGACAAAGCCTTGGATTCTACCTTCAATACAGTCAAAACTGCAAATTAAAATAATTTTCTGGGGGAGGAGGGATGGGATGAGGGGAGGGAGAGGGAGAAGGGACTTAACATGTGAAACAAGCTTGTTCCCTAACTTGAACTAATAAATAAATAAATAAATAAATAAATAAATAAATAAAATAATTTTCTGATCTTAATATGTATGTTAATGGCAAAAGATTACATATATGTATAAGTTCTATTTATAAAACATTAACGGGAGCCAAAAGCTTTTCTTACCCATTTCTGAATATATTTTTAAACTATATTATAAAATTACTGCAGGACGTTGGTGGTGCACACCTTTAATCCCAGCACTCGGGAGGCAGAGGCAGGTGCATGTCTGTGAGTTCGAGGCCAGCCTGCTCTCCAGAGCGAGTGCCAAAATAGGCTCCAAAGCTACACAGAGAAACCCTATCTTGAAAAACCAAAAATAAATAAATAAATAAATAAAATTACTGAATACATTCATTAGATCATAGTAAGCAAAATTAATACTTTTTACTGGTTTTTAAAATTATAACCTATATTTTATTAAAACAAGTGCATTATTATTTTGATTATATTTTTCCCAATAATGTATTATGTCCTGTTTTATGTAAATGTTTCATTGTTAGTTAACATCAAATAAAAAGAAAATCTTGAGGAAAAAAGTCTTATAGAAGGAGCTGGAGAGACAGCTGTTCAATTCCCAGCACCCACATGGCAGCTCAAAACCGTCTGTAACTCCAAGATCTGACACCCTCACACAGACATGCATGCAGGTGAAACACCAATGCAATAAATAAATAAAACTTACAGAGATAGTTACTGATTTTTTTCAACTGAGGATCATACATCATTACTTTCAATGTACTGCTGTTTAAATTCTCACATTACACATTACTCTTAAGTTAAAACATACTATACAAGGAAAAGGAGAATTGTATTTGCCTATAATTTTCAAATAAAAAACTTAAATATACATCTAAATGAGTTTTACATGAAGACATACACAATTCAGAACAACAACAACAAAAAAAGATAAGAATCTTGCTCCGTGCAATTAAAAGCACACTCAGAATATTAGGAATAGTTTTGGATACCATATTTTTTTAAAAGGAGAAAAAAACAAGATTCACAAATTAAGAAGCCCCCATAAACGGGGCAGTGGTGGCGCACACCTTTAATCCCATCACTTGGGAGGCAAAGCAGGTGGATCTCTGTGAGTTTGAGGCCAGCCTGGTCTCCAAAACTACACAAAGAAACCATCTGGGGGAAGGGGAAGAAGCCCCCATAAGATGTCCAAAGAAAGTAAGAAAATCTGACATTACATAACCAACAAAGATACAAATGTCACTTAAACTTCCTAAAAAAGAGGGTATGGAAACGAAATCAGAGTAAGGGAGGCAAAATGTAGGCAATGATATTGAGGGAAAACTTAGGTCAGCCTAAAGACATCTGCAGAAAAAGAACTGTCTACTGCTGAAGTAAGAAAAGAGGCAGCGTGAGTTCCTGATGACAAAGCGTCCAAGCAGATGGTGACAACATGGCATGTACTATAGCCCCTTCCATAACACTCATTGAGTGATACAGCTGTCAGTCACAGTAGACCTGAAAGAACTCTTATCTGGTGACAATGACTCAGTAATATTAGAGACAGAGAAAACAGATGAAGTATCCCTTTTAACTGACCTTTTTTTCCTCCTGCAATATGATTTCTTCATAAAGCCGCGGGACAAATGCATAACGGTCATGCTGTTTATCTTTCTTGATGTTAATATTTTCATACTGTAATGTCCTTTCCCTTTGGAAAATTCAGATAGAAATTAAGAGTTTTCAATTTTAAAATCACAAATGTTTGCATAAGCAAAGGTCATTTTTGCAGCAGCAGCTTCTGCTTTAGATGACTTAGAAAAGATCACTAGGTTGGGCCAATACACTCAAACTTAATGAAAATGAATTTTCACGTAGTTGCTTTTGTTGCTTTAAAATCTGGAGCACTGGGGCTACAAGGATGGTTCAGTGGAGAAAGGCACTTGCTGTCCAGCCTGATAATCTGAGTTGACTCCCTGGAGCCCACACAGTAGAGGAATAGGATCCCTGCAAGTTGTTCTGATCTCAGCATGGGTGTAAGCGTACATGTACATTACACAGACACACATGAAAAGGAAGGAAATTAAAATTCGAAGCACTGTTATAAAATTGTTTCAATAATTATTCCATAAGGAAAATGGGGCATGAGGATTACAACATGAACTGAAATCATCAAAGGTAACCAAATAAAGTTTCCTGATATTCTACTTACCAAAGAAAACATTTTTAAAATCTAAATTCCCTTGGTATTTTAATTTCTGGTTAAAGTGAGAAAAAAATAGTCCTCTCTATTAATATCATAAAGCACTAAGTAAGCAAAAGGGCAGGTCAACATGGAAAAAAATAAACTGGAAAAAAGGTAAAATTGGGGGGGAAGTTTTTACAAATATCATAAAAATAGGTAGACAGTAAAAAATGAATCAACATTAGAAGAAATAAAAGGGACTGGATGAATAAATGGCCAAGAAAAAACAGACTAACTGTGATTACAGTCCTGGCTGCTCTTCATTTTATTTAAACTGAAACAAGTATGGGAGAAGAGCAAATGGGTAAAACTGAGAAGGAAAAGAAAGGACTATTGTAGGGAGACACTGTAACCACACTTCCTAAGAGCTAGCTACAGGTGTGCTTGACCACGCCTGTTGGGCGTGGTCAGGGGAGGTTCAGGATGACACATGGGGAGTTCTTAAGGGGCAGCAGACACCTGGGAGCTCTCTCTCTCTCTCTCTCTCTCTCTCTCTCTCTCTCTCTCCTCTCTCTCTCTCTCTCTCTCTGGCCTCCCTAGCTTGCAGCCTCTGGGCACGCTCTGGCTTGTGTTTGGCCGGTATTATTTGAATAAAGATCTCCCAACCTGCATCCATCTCGGTACACGTGGCGTCCAATGTGGGCACGAACCCACGACCCTGAGATTAAGAGTCTCATGCTCTACCAACTGAACAGTCCACGAATATTATCTGCTGAGGCAGAAAAAGAACTACAATGGGTACAAAGCAGAATATTGGATGCCCATGTAGATCAGATAAACCTTGATTTAGACTGCATTCTGGTCATCTTGCCATCCAGAGAATATCCTTCTGGAATTGGATGCAGAGGGAAGACACTATATTAGAATAAACAGAATAAAAAGTTAAAGACGTATATAGAAAAGATTTCTGATTTGATTTTAAAGGGCAAATTAAGACTTTGTCAACTGACTGGAAAAGATTCAGCAGAAATTATAGTACCTTTAACTAATGATGAAATTTCCTCCTTATGGAAGGATAATGAATATTGGCAGATAGCTCTTACCGACTTTTTTGGAACAATTAGCAACAACTATCCCAAAACCGACAAAATTAAATTCATAAAAAAGACAAGTCTGGATTCTTCCAGGCATTGTAAGACAAACTCCCATTTCTGGAGTTCTTACCTTCTACACTTATACTAACAAATCAGGTAAGGCTAGTTATAAAGCAGGTGAGGTAAGTAAAGTAGTTCAAAGTCCGGACACATCTGTACAGAAGACAGAATTATATGCAATTCTCATGGTGTTTATGGATTTCACAGAACCTCTTAACATAGTTACTGATTCCCAATATGCAGAGAGAGTTGTCTTGCACATAGAGACTGCAGAATTCGTCCCTGATAATACTGAACTAACCTCGTTGTTCTTGCAGTTACAGGAAACAACCAGAAACAGAAGTAACCCACTGTACATTACACATATCAGATCCCACAAGGGACTGCCAGGCCCACTAGCACAAGGCAATGATGAGATTGATTGTTTATTAATTGTCACTGTGCTAGAAGCTTCAGAATTTCATAAAAAACATCATGTAAATAGCAAGGGTTTAAAGAAGGACTTCTCCATCACATGGCAACAAGCCAAGGAGATAGTGAGAAACTGCCCTGCTTGTTCCTTTTATAACCAAACTCCACTGCCAGCAGGCTGTAATCCTAAAGGCATTCGGAGGAATGAGATCTGGCAGATGGATGTCTTTCACTTTACAGAATTTCGAAATTTGAAATGCGTGCATCATACTATAGACACATTCTCAGGTTTCCAAAGGGCTACTGCTCTTAACTCTGAAAAAGCTGATTCTGTTATTACACAACTGCTAGAGGTGATGGCAGTTATGGGTATACCTTCACAGATAAAAACTGACAATGCTCCAGCATACGTCTCCACAAAAATGGAACAGTTCTTCAAATATTATAACATACAACATGTCTCCTGTATACCACACAATCCTACAGGACAAGCAGTTGTTGAAAGATCTACTAGGATGCTTAAGGAGATGCTCCATAGGCAAGCTGGTAAGTCAAAACCCCCCAAACACAGGTTGCATAATGCTTTATTGACACTAAACTTTTTTAATGCCAATGACAAAGGACAAACAGCTGCAGAAAGACACTGAACTACAGAAAAAAACTGCTGAACTAAATCAACCAGTATACTTCAAAGATGTACTGACCTCCAAATGGAAGCCTGGACATGTGTTACGTTGGGGTAGGGGTTTTCCATTTGTTTCCACAGGAGAAGAAAAACTTTGGATACCATAAAAATTGATCAAGATTTGAGTTGAAAAAGACAACCCTCTTGACAAGGACGACTGACAGGTATTTACTGAGGTATATCTCATAAACTAAATAAAAGCCTCCCAAAGGAAAGGGAAGTGCTTTGTTTTTATCTTCACAGGAAAACTCATCTCCAGAAGTCAAAGGACACTGCATGGGTAGATACTTAAGGAAGAGAAGGTAGCTATAACCATCAAACAAAAGGAACGTGCCATACGGTAAACTTTATAGCTGTCTCTCAAATAACTCTATTTCTCTTCATTTCCTAGTCCCTATTCAAGAAAATCAACACTGGATTTAGGGTTGGATTTGGCTTTCCGCCCCTAAAATTCAAGCATGTTGTTTAACTAAATTTTAGAGTTTCTGTATTATAACCAGAAGCCATTTGATGTAATACAGAATGAGAGAGGAATTTGGGGACTGTCTTTGTCTTTCTTGGCTCTTTCCTTCAAGGTGTACACTGTCTCACAATCATTATTTTCCAACATACATACATAGACAAGCAAACACTTCTCTGCTAACACTTATGTTTGAGTCCCACACAGCCAATGAAAACCTGCCTGACAGCAATCCCTGGACGCTCCGGAAAAGAAATTGGGCCATACCTCCTAGACTGCACTGGATCCAACTTACTCGGTTTCAATTGACACTCCCACCAGAGCTTCGAGTGCTGGCTTCAATCAAGTTGAGGATTTTAACCTAGATCTTCAATCAAGCAAATCCCATGTAACATGGACTGGAGATAATCCATTAGAGACTTTCACTATACTAACATTTTCTTCCCACAGGACCCTACAAGGCTACCATCGTCCCATTTCAACAGGAAGTAACTTGGAAGATGCTACGTCCCCATTCCCCATTATTGTCTATTAGGGTGGTGTAAGCCTAGTTAGGAATAACTTTCCTATTGTTTAGGGTTGGGATTGGAAGGAGGTGTTCATGTTGGATACCCCTTTCAGATGACTTTAGGGCTTAGCTGGAACAGACATAGTTAGGATGTGCAATAGCAGATTATTGTGTCTTCTTGTATTTCACCTTTATGATTGTTAATTTTGGATGTTTTATACTATTAAGTTTTAATCCTGTTTTAGACTAAAAAGGGAATTGTAAGGAGACACTGTAACCACACTTCCTAAGAGCTAGCTATAGGTGTGGTCAGGGTGTGGTCAGGGGAAGTTCAGGATGCTGTGTAGGTAGTTCTTAAGGGGTGGCAGACACGTGGGAGCTCTCTCTCTCTCTCTCTCTCTCTCTCTCTCTCTCTCTCTCTCTCTCTCTCTCTCTCTCTCTTTCTCTCTCTGGCCTCCCTAGCCTGCTGCCTCTGGGCACGCTCTGGCTGTGCTTGTCAGGTATTATTTAAATAAAGATATCCCAACCTGCATCCATCTCGGTACAGACTATAATATCCAACAGACATGTAGTCATCCCAGGCTAAAATAAATGGCTCACAAAACAAAACCAGATGTTATTAATCTGGGAAATGGACTGGTAGTGACAAAGGGACAGTGATGGGGGTAGGACAGAAATGATAAGCGGCAGTGAAGGGTAAGCAGAATACACTGTACACATGTGTTACATTGTCAATAATCTTTCATGACAAATGAACATGAAATATTTACTTTTTAAATGCTAAGTAACATGAATATGCCAAGAAGGGGGAAGATCAGAGTTTGAATGGTCGCAGTAGGTAACCTGATTGAAAGAATAGTAAGTACAGACTATGTCTTAGTTGGGGTTTCTGTTGCTGTGAAGACATACCATGATCAAGGCAACTCTCACACAGGAAAACATTTAATTGAGGTGGACGTTCATGGTTTCATAAGTTCAGTCATCACCACGGTGGGAAGCATGGTGGCTGAAGGTATGACAGCATGCAGGCAGACAGAGTGCTGGACAGGTGCACATCTTGCAGGCTGCAGGAAACTGTCTGTCTCACAGTGTGTGGCTTGAGCATATAAGAGACCTCAAAGCCCTCCTCCACAGTGACACACTTCCTCCAACAAGGCCACACCTCCTAATAGTGCCAATCCCTTTGGAGGCTATTGTCTTTCAAATTACCACAGACTACACAGTACAAGTAAGTGTTCATGTTACATTTCTAGCACAATTACTAAAAGAATAAAATACAAAAAGGTATACCTTTCAGATTAGGAGAGTAAAACAATAAGAAAAATGATCTGGTATTAATTTCTAAAAAGAAGTATCAAGCTTTATTCTTATCGTACTATTAAATTCAAGGATTCAATATTTGTTCAGTGAATGAGCTATTAGCCAGGAGTCCAAGCCTCCAGCTATGCACACTGCTAGCATGCAAGAATGTCTAGGTCTGGATACAGAGTAAATAAAAATAAATAAAAAAAAAGAAACTTTCCCTTAGAAAACTCATGCTGTAGGAATGAACAGGCAGAGAAGCTGGTATCCAATAAACTAAGAAGAGCAAACCATGACTCAGTGTTGATAAAAAGTACTTGCCACGAGAGCCAATAGTGGAAGGAGAGAACCGACACTGGAAAATTCTTCTCTGATGTACATGGGAAGAAAAGGGGGGCTCGCACACACACACACACACACACACACACACACACACAATTTTTAAGAGAAAAAACACAGCGACAGCTAACCATATGGAGCAGTAACAGATGACGTACCCCCAACTCTTCCCTGGGTCAGAGTTAAGTAGCCTTGTTGTGCTATGGCCTAACCACAGCCCTAACTTTTGTTCCTAACTGTTCTATGTTCTTTGTCATGTATGCTGTGGAGCTAAATCATAAGATGTGAAAGCATTTAAAAGTCAGGTATTTTCTCTGTTCTGGGGGTTTCTCTGGCTATTCCATGCCATCCTATCCATGGCAACTTTCTCTCTTACTCATACTTTAAACTATCCCCTCCAATGAAGCCCATCCAGGTTTTAAAGAGAAGCATCTCTTTGTCTTGAAGGCCATGTTAACAAAGGTTTTAACATAATTACTATTTTCTTCCAAGTGCTTTCTCATTTCAAGGCCTCATAATGGTCCATGACCCTTTCTCCTAATAAAGCTACTTCCTGCAGGTAATTATGTTCCTTTTCAAACCAACCACTGCCACTCATTCTTACATCCAAGAATGTCATGGCTGTGAGCCTCACTAAATCAGAATGTCTTCTCAAATAGTTATCTAGTCAGAACAGAGGCAAGGCAAAGGATGGGGAATTCTGACCCACCTTGTTTAAGATATTCTAGGATCTTTTGTTGATTTTAAATTAATCACAGAACATCTTAATGATTAGGTGCATGAAATATGTACTCAAACAGGTCTCAGTTAAAGTCTAGTTCTGGCATTTTATAGTCACATAAGCTAAAACATGTTATTTATCTTCTCTGATGCTTGAATTTTTCACTAATAAAATAGGTAATTAATACTAACTACAAAGAGACTCATGAAGACTAAATGAAGATATATATATATATCTCAAGAGATAGAGTCTAGCTCATGAGAAGGCAATAGTTTTCTTAAGGATTATTCCAAAAATATAATACACCTTGGAGTTTTTCATACTACTTTTCCTTTCTTAACAGAATAGCCTAGTCTGAACTGGTACAATACTTTATAGTCTACAACTATATTAATGATGCTTAAGAAGTCTTTTCCATTCTCACTCTCTCACCAAGGTTTCACTATGTAATCCCTGAGGAACTGAGAACCACTATGTACCCCAGGTTGGTCTTGAACTTGAAGCAATCCTCCTACCTTGACCTCCCAAGTGCTAGAATCACAGGTGTATACCACCATGTCCAATTGCTATTTGTTTTTACTTACTGGATAATGTCATACTGTCCAGGACCAGGACCTGAATGCTTGATCAATTCTTGTCTTCCTGTACCATAGCCAAAATGTACACCTTTGTATTTCAAAGAGGATTTAGGATAATCCTAAAATAAAGAAAGAATAAGAAAAAAGAGCATGAGGCAAATTGAGAAACATTGTTAAATTTGACTGAGGTCTAATTACACAGCAAGAATATCCTCAGTCAAAGCAATCCCACCAGTAAAATCAGGGCTCTTAAGCTGGATTCTGCCCATCTGTCTCCCATGTTAACCAGATTTCTCCTAGATTATTCTCTAACATTAGTCTACACCGAACCAGTGTGAGCATTTTGCTCTTGCTGCTACACTGGCAATTTAATGCCACCAGAACAATGAAGTGCAGTTCCAGGCTGAATGTATTATTTAGAAAATGAAAAAAAAATACTTAAAATGTTAGACAGATTAGGAAAATACAAATAACATCAACAGACCTTGGGCAATTAATTAACATGATGTTTAAAAACATTTTCATGTCAAGATTTTTAAGAATAACAATGGGTAAAACAAATTAAACACTCTCCAAGTTCATGATACTTCTAATATATGAGGATAGGATTATTCTTTTAATACCAAAGAAATTATTTATGTCAGGAAAAAGTCAACCAACGTTTTTCCTTAACATTGGTAAGAATAGATGTCAAACCTAAGCATGAACTACAAAAGTTAAAGCACTGGTTTCATCAGCACCAAAACAAGAAACCATAACGCAGTAAGGACAGTGGTTCCTTTCCAAGAGCTCTCTTTTCTTGTGATACAATCATCTTTGTGAAATCATCCAAAGGCCTGAAGAGATGGCTCAGTAGTTAAGTGCAGTCGCTTCTCTAGGACCTGGGTTCAGTTCCTAATTCCCACATGGTGTTGTGCCCAGAGTCTAGACTCCCAAAGACCACCAAAAGACCGGATCCAATGCAAAAGCAAAGAGTCTTTAATTAGAAGTTCAAACTCAGGTCTCTCATCCATCTGATGCAACAGTGAACCAGAAGAGACCTCGAGCTGCAGTGGGACAGGGCATTTACTGGGGGTAGAGCAAAGTGGGTGTCTGAGGAGTCTTCAAGTTGCATAGTAAAAGTTTCAGGATTGGTGCACCTCTGGGCTGGAGGTACCTGTCCTGAGTTGATTGTTCAGCTGCAGCTGCAGAAAGATTGCCATGTCTAGAGGCCATCTGAAGGCCATTGCTACAGTTACTGCATTCCACTCTTCACCAGTGAAGTGCATTCACAGCCTACCAACTAACTTCTGATTGGTTCCCTACCACATCGAGGGGATCTGGCAGTTTCTTCCCAGTAATTAGGGCAAGGTTGGGCAAGGTCAGGGGCTCAGCACATACTGCTAAGTCAGGAGCCTACATCTTGAGGGCCTGGGCAAGGGTCTGAGCCCTTGGATTGTAGCTCACAACCATCTGTAACTTCAGTTCCTGGGGATCCAATGCTCTCTTACAGCCTCTGTGGGCACTCTTCTCATGTGCCGCACATATAACAAGTAGGCAAAACACTCAATATGTCAATTAGCAATAAATAAGTCCTATCAGAAATAAACCATTCACACTGTTTCAATAAAACTTTTAACAGAAGGTAGAAGATAAATTCTAGATTACTCATTGTTAATTCATCTGAAAAGCTGTCTTTGTAAAACATGGGGATCTTGTTTTATGTATTTGTTGCTATGCCTGCATGCATGTCTGTATACCACATGCATGAAGTTCCTGAGGAACCAGAAGAGACACTGGATCTCCTGGAGCTGGAACTAGAGTTATAGATGATTGTGAGTTGCTGTGTGAGTACTGGGAATTGAAAGAACAAGCAATGCTCTTAATCACCGAGCCATCTCTCCGGATCATAAAATAGTTTAAATAAGCTTGAATTGCTAAAAAACTATATATTGAATAAAATCTCTGTAACATGTAGTTTAACTATATAAAACAGTGTATCAAGTATTCTAGGTGACTTACTATTTAAGCACATTGTAATCAATTATCAATTATTACAAACATAATCAATGCAACAAATAGAAATGTTAGCATCACAAAGTATAATTTCAGTTCAAACTCCTATCTATTGCACCTCACCTAGACTTCAAGAGTTGTATAAAACAGACACGTCAGACACTTTAAAGGATTCCTGTACCATGACAAGGCCCCACTGCATGTGAAAAGAGCTGCAGCTAAACTCTGCTAACATTTCAGAAAGGCAGAAGCTGGAGATGATGGTAGACTCTTTGGTAATGAATAGGCAATGATTTCTAGTGAGAGATGCAACATTCAAAAGCTGTGGGATGCTGTAACAAAATCCAAAAAGAAGCCACTGCATCTGGACCCAAGAGCTGCGTGTGGGAAAATGGAGTCACCAGCTGTTGTGTGGCAGTTTCCGCTGAGATTAAAATCTTTCATGTTAGAGAAAAACTTGTTAAGAAGCAGGATGTTAAAGGGGAGATTAAAACAGTAGGGTGTTCTAAGGAGGAAGCTTATAAAGATACAGATTGTGAAAAGTAAGAAAACAGTGTTCTAACATTCCATCCTGCAGCAGAAGCTCATTAAGCCCAAGAAGTAAACAACTCAATGGCTTTGGGAAGTCACTGAAACTGAACAGACTCACTAGGTTCCTCCTTTCCCAAGTGAATATAAGCAAACATGACTGCTGAGAAACTCTCTCAGGCAAGCTGTGCTGCCTAGAATAGACAGAGATGCAACAAACCGTCCAGAAGAAACAGACTAGTAGAGCTGACTGGAGGAGGGCAGAGACCAGCAGAACACCTGAAAGTGTTTATGTCAACTAAGCTACCTGAGACTCGCTCCAGCCTGTTAAATTGCCTCTAGGCTGAGAGGTTGCACTCCAGGTTGCATGAGCTGTCACCCACGCTGGGTGGGTGTGGCGCTTAGTGACGCAGTTGTCTTTGAACCAGTTTTACTCGTGTGGGTAACCAACCCCTCCCCCACACACCTGTGTGTAACCTCAGTAAAACTCATTGGTTCACCACAGTAGACTTTAGTAGTATGTGTACTTTGGCCTGCCATTGATTTCCTATCTGGGATAGGTAGCTGTTTGTTCCCATCACCCTAGGAATGGTATCACACAACAACAGTTACATTCAGGCAGGATTCAGACGTGTTTAGTGAAGTTTTCCATCTCAAAGGGCAAACCACTTGGAAGGGGAATATGAAAACTAATTCTGGGAGTCAACTAGTAATGATGACCTAACTAGTAAGAAAATCTTAAAATCAAAGCAATAGCAATGCCCTACTAAGTATTTTCTGATGACTGAATTTGCATTCTTTAGTGGAGTAATGTCTATATCTTACAAAAGGAAAAAAAATAAAATAACTTGTTTTAGTACCAAGGTAGCTCTCATAGTATCAGAATATGTTGTTATGCCCAGACTGTGAAACCCCAAAAAGACAGCTGCCAAGGAGACAACTCACTGAATGCAAGAACATTTTTTTGTTTGTTTGTTTGTTGCTGCCAAGGAGACAACTCACTGAATGCAAGAACATTTTTTTGTTTGTTTTTTTTGTTTGTTTGTTTTTTTGTTTTTTTGTTTTTCAAGACAGGGTTTCTCTGTGTAGCTTTGGAGCCTATCCTGGCACTCGCTCTGGAGACCAGACTGGCCTCGAACTCACAGAGATCCGCCTGCCTCTGCCTCCCCAGTGCTGGGATTAAAGGTGTGTGCCACCAATGCCCAACTAGAACAAAGATTTCTGTGGAGAACTGCGCCTTAGCCACCTGGCGTTCTGGGGTTGGCTGGCAAGTGTGCTTTTAAGCTGTGGGCTGGCTTTCCCCAGGGTCAGAAGATTGTTTAAGTTTCCTGAGTAAACTGCTTAAGGAAGAGTCTCAGCGTTGCGTCTTCCTTGCTGGTCGAGGTGGTCGCAACAGCTTTCTTTATTGATTTGAGCTGCAGCGAGGACACCACTCATTTGGGAACAAGTGGAATGAATGCCAGTTTTTGGCTGAGGGGATTTTTAAAGGGAAAGTTCAAAAGACTGGATGTCTTGATATTACAAAGTTTTTATGGTTACATAGGATAAACTATGTTCAGGCAGGATGCAATTAAGCAGGAAGCTGTAGAGGAAATAAGTCTGTTAATTATCTCCTAGGCAGGGACTTTTACAACTATGAATTGACAACTATCTGATCTTTAGGACAGAGAAATGTTGACACAGCTGGGGGTAGGGGGTACTATCTGTTCCCAGGCCTCTGTACCCATTTTTTGTTTAGCCTTATCTGTCAGGCTGCCTTTTTGGGAACCCAGAGAGGCGTAAGAGTTTTTCTATTTGGGCTTTGGAGTCCAAGTTTTAGACTTTTATTAATTTTTCCCATTTTACTCCTTTCAATGTTACGCTAGTTGCTGATGGGAAAAAGTCCTACCCAGCCCTAAAGCCTAAAACAAACCATAGCCACAGCCAGCCCAGTAACAGCCACAGTGGCACTTTTATCTGGGGGGGAGGGGGTAACTCATGCCCGGTACTATAAATCTAGTCCACTACCCATGGCTGGAGAAGTCATGGACTCTAGGGGAGAACTTTCTACTGTCATTTTCCTAAACCAATATAACTGCTAACTATATTACAAATGTTTTCCCTTATATCCACAAGAAGGTATAGCTCATATTCCTTATCAAATCTTCTTTGTGCAGCAAATAGAGGATAACACAGAGATCCTGTATCTAAAGCTCAAGGAAAATCCAGGAAGAGGGGACAGAAAGATGGAGAAAGTCAGAAGCCAGAATACCTGCTACCAAATAGTGCCTTCTACACCTTAAGTCCACACTCACAAAATTTTCACAAAATAGCTATGTAAGCAAGACTTTCATATTGACCACACAAGCTGACATGCCAGTGTGAGCAAGGGAAACTTCACAAGTGGTCAGATCTAAATACATGTACTCATAAGTAACCCTAAATGGATTCAATAGCTATGTGTGCGTGAGCATGTGCATGTGTGTGTGTGTGTGTGCGTGTGCGTGTGCGTGTGCGTGTGCGTGTGCGTGTGCGTGTGCGTGTGCGTGTGCGTGTGTGTGTGTGTATTTGAGAGGGACCTGGGAGAACTGATAGGGGAAGTTAGAACAGGGAGAGC